ATGACCTAAGGAATAATAGTCATCGCCTCGCCATGACCGTTCCTCATTTTTTGGCGTTTTAGGGCCATAAAACGAGAATTATGCCCGACTCCCAGATTTTCGTGTACTATATCCCACGCCATCTGCATGGGTCTTGGCAACCGGAGCCGGATCTACTCAAATTTTGCCTGCCTATCAAACATGATCTAAGGAACAATAGTCATCGTCTCTTCATGACCGTTCCTCATTTTTTTGGCATTTTTGGATCATAAAACTGGAATTTCGCCAGATCCATAGATTTTCTTTTGCCATAACCCACGCCATCTGCATGGGCCCGGGAGAACGAATCCCGATTGCCTAAAATTTTGCATGTTCATAAAATATGAACTAAGGAACAATAGTCATTGTCTCGCCATGATCATTCCTCATTTTTTGGCGTTTTAGGATAATAAAACTTAAATAGCGCCCGATTTCTAAATTTTCGTGTGCTATTCGTGTGTTATAGCCCACGTCCATCTGCATGCATCTAGGCGACCGGACCCGAAATGCCTAAACATTTGTCGGCCCATCATAAACGACCTAAAGAACAATAGTCATCGCTTGACATGACCGTTCCCTTATTTTTGGCATTTTAGGACCATGAAACTTGAATTTCGCCGATTCTTAGATTTTCGTGTGCTATAACCCACGCAATCTACATGGGCCCGGATGACCAGACCCGAATAGCCTAAGAATTTTCAGCCCGTCAAAAATGACCTAAGGAAAAATAGTCATCGCCATGCCATGACCATTCCTTGTTTTTTGGCGTTTTAGGGCCATAAAACTGAAATTTCGCACGATTCCTAGATTTTCATGTGCTATAGCCCACGCCATCTACATGTGCCTGGGCACCGGACCTGATTCGACAAAAATTTTACCGCCCCATCAAAAAACTACCTAAGGAAAAATAGTCATCGCCTCGCCATGAACGCTCCTCGTTTTTTGGCGTTTTTGGGCCAAATTTTGAATTTCGCCTTATTCCTAGATTTTCGTGTGTTATAGCCCATGCCATCAGCATTGGCCCGGGCGACCGGACGCGAATCGCCTAAAAAATTTTGGGCACTAAAAAATGACCTAAGGAACAATAATCATCGCTTTGCCATGACCGTTCTTTATTTTTTGGCGTTTTAGGGCCATAAAACTAGAATTCTGCCCGATTCTCAAATTTTCGTGTGCTATATAGCCCATACCATCTGCATGGGCCCGAGCTACCGGACCTGGATAGCCTAAAATAGTCATTGTCTTGCCATGACTGTTCCTCATTTTTTGGCGTTTTAGGACCATAGAACTGAAATTCTACCCGATTTCTAGTTTTTCGTGTGCTATAGCCTTCGCCATTTTCATGGGCCCAGGCGATTGGACCCTGATAGCCTAAAATTTTGCCGGTCCGTCAAAAAAGATCTAAGGAACAACAATCATCGCTTCGCCACGACCTCCTCATTTCTTAGCGCATTAGGGCCATAAAACTGAAATTTTGTCCGATTCCCAGATTTTTGTGTGTTATAGCCCACGCCATCTGCATGGGCCCGGGCGACCCGACCCGAGTCGCCTAAAAAATTTTGGTCTATCAAAAATGACCTAAGGAACTGTAGTCATCGCCTCACCATGACCGTTCCTTATTATTCGGTGTTTTAGGACCATAAAACTTGAATTTCGCCCGGTTCTTAGATTTTTGTATGCTATAACCCACACCATCAGCATGGGCCCAGATGACCAGACCCTAATTGCATAAATTTTTTCGGCCCGTAAAAATGACTTGAGCAACAATAGTCATCGCTTCGCCATGATCGTTCCTTATTTTTGGTGTCTTAGGGCCATAAAACTAGAATTTTGCCCGATTTCTAAATTTTCGTGTGCATAGCCCACGCCATCTGCATGGGCCCGGGAACCGAACCCGGATCGCCTAAAATTTTACCGGCCCATAAAAACAACTAAAGGATTAATAATCATCGCTTCGCCATGACCGTTCCTCATTTTTTGGCACTTTAGGGCCATAAAAGTTGACTTTCACCCGATTCCTAAATTTTTGTGTGTTATAGCCCACGTCATATGCATGGGCCTGTGCGACCGGATCCGGATCACCTAAAATTTTTGCGGCCCATAAAAAACGAGCGAAGGAACAATAGTCAAGGCCTCGCCATGACCGTTCCTCATTTTTTGGAGTTTTAGAGCCATAAAACTAAAATTCCATCCGATTTCCAAATTTTCTTATGTTGTAGCCCACGCTATGGGCTAGGGCGATGGGTCCCGGATCAACTCAAATTTTGTCGGCCCATAAAAATGATCTAAGTAACAATAGTGATCACCTCGCCATAACCGTTCCTAGTTTTTTTGGTGTTTTAGGGCCGTATAACTAGAATTCCGCCCGATTTTTAGATTTTCGTATGTTATAGCCCATGCCATCTGACTGGGCTCGAGCGACCGGACCCTTATCGCCTAATATTTTGCCGGACCATAAAAAATGATCTAAGGAACAATAGTCATCGCCTCGCCAAGAGCATTCCTCAGTTTTTGGCATTTTAGGGCCATAAAACTGAAATTTCGCCTGATTCCCAAATTTTCATGTGCTATTGCCCACACTATCTGCATGGGCCAGGGCAACCGGTCCCAAATCACCTAAAATATTTTGGTCCATAAAAAATGACCTAAGAAATAATAGTCACCGCCTCACCATGACTGTTCCTCATTTTGGCGTTTTAGGGCCATAAAACTAAAATTACGCCCGATTCTCAGATTTTCGTGTGCTATAACCCACGCTATCAGGCTACTAGATCAGAATCGCCTATTATTTTATGGCGCATCAAAAATGACCTAAGGAATTATCGTCTCGCCATGACCTTTCCTTGTTTTTGGCGTTTTAGGGCCATAAAACTGGAATTCCGCCCGATTCTTAAATTTTCTTGTGCAATAGCCCACACCATCTGCATGAGCCTAGGCGACCGGACCTGGATCGCCTAATATTTTGTCGACCCATAAAAAATGATCGAAGGAACAATAGTCATCACCTCACCATGACCGTTCCTTTTTTTTGGCGTTTTATTTTCATAAAATTAAAATTTTGCCTGGTTCTCAGATTTTCGTGTGTTGTGACACACTCGTCTGTATGGACCCGGGCGACCGGACCCGATCGCCCAAAATTTTCCTGGCCCATAAAAAACGAACCTAGGAACATTAGTCATCGCCTGACCATGACCGTTCCTCGTTTTTTGACATTTTAGGGCCATAAAATTGGAATTCCGCATGATTTCCGTATTTTCGTGCCCACGCCATCTGCATATGCCCAGGTGATCGAACTCGGATCGCCTAAAATTTTGATGGCCCAAAAAAAATGATCAATGTAACAATAGTCATCGCCCCCCATGATCATTCCTCGTTTTTAGCGTTTTAGGGCCATAAAACTAGAATTTCGTCCGATTCCTAAATTTTCGAGTGACATGCGCTCGGCAACCGAACCCGGATCGCCTAAAATATTGTCGGCCAAATAAAAAGACTTAAGGAACAATAATCATCACCTCGCCATGATCGTTTCTCGTTTTTTGGCATTTTATTTTTATAAAACTAGAATTCCGCCGGATTCCCAGATTTTCGTGTGCTATACAAACGTTATCTGCATGGGCCCGGGCGACCGGACCCCGATTTTCCAAAAGTTTGTCGGCCTAACAAAAACGATGGCACACGCCATCCGGGCAACCAGACCCAAATCGCCTAAAATTTCATCGGTCATAAAAAATGACCTAAGGAACAATAGTCATTGCCTCGCCATGACCGTTCCTCGTTTTTATCGTTTTAGGGTCATAAAACTGGAATTCCGCCCAATTCCCTGATATTGGTTGAATTAATACATGTTGATCTTGCAGTAATTTTTTGACGGACTCCGAATGGCCTGAATATTTGTAGGTCAATAGCAAACTACAATTTTCAATTCTTCAATATGACTTTTGGGTTCATTTCATGGCGGATCATGATCATGCAACACGAATTTGTGATTATATCTACTTATTCGTGTGTATAAGCACATGTTGATTTTGTAGAATTTTTTTGACGGACGCTAGTTGGCCTGAAATTTCGTAGGTCCGTAGGAAACGACCTAGTAACCAATACTCATCCCTTATCCATAACTTGCGGGTTCATTTTTTTGTATATTGGGTCATGCAACATGATTTTGTGATTATATCCACTTTTTCGTGCGTATTAGTATATGTTTATTTTGTAGAATTTCTTTGACGGACTCCGATTGGCCTGATTTTTCGCATTCCATAGGTAACATCCTATTAACTAATACTTATCGTTTCGTCATGACTTTCTGGTTCATTTTTTGGTCTTTTGGGATCATACAACACGAGTTTGTGATTATATTCACTTTTTCATGCGTATTAGTACATGCTGATTTTGTAAAATTTTTTTGACGGACTCCGATTGATCTAAAATTTCGTAAGTCCATAAAAACAACATAGTGACCAATATTCATTGCTTCGCCATGACTTTCGGGTTCATTTTATGACGTTTCAGGGTCATGCAACACGATTTCATGATTAAATCCAATTTTTTATGTATACTACATGTTGATTTTGTAGAACTTTTTGGACGGACTCTGATTAGCCTGAAATTTCAAAGGTCCATAATAAACAGCCTAGTGACCAATACTTATCGCTTCGCCATGGCTTACGAGTTAATTTTTTTTGTTTTGGGGTCATACAATATGAATTGGTGATTATATCCATTTTTTCAAGTGTATTAGTATATGCTAATTGTGTATACCTTTTTTTATGGACTCCAATTGGCCTGAAATTTCATAGGTCTATATAAAACTACCTAGTGATTATTATTCATCGTTTCATCATGACTTTCAGGTTCATTTTTTGGAATTTAGAGTCATGCAGCATGAATTTGTGATTATATCCACTTTTTCATGTATATTAGTACATGCTGATTCTATATTATTTTTTGACGTACTCCAATTGACCCTAAATTTCGTAGGTCCATTCTTCAAATTCAGCATCCAGCTGCTTTAATTGCAACAAATTACTTTTACTATACAAAGACAAATGTTCTCCAATTCCACGTACTGGTATACTGATGAACATTAAGTTGTTGTGATCTGTACAAATCCAACGGAAGTTCTATCAACACACAGGATTCCAAAAAAGTTCACTGCACTGGACTTTTAACTTTTCTCTAGTCAAGTGCAAATGTCTCAACCGTCAAATAACTGGTTTCTTCTGTTTTATCATCTTCATTAAAGCTAGATGGAATCTCTGCAGCAAACCTAGAGCGAACATTAGGAGTGTCAGTGTTAACATAACAGTAAAGAAAATTCTTAAAGGATTTAACTTATATAAACCGACACTGACAAATTTTAATACTATAATTATGTAATGTGCTTTAACGTGTCGTTGCGGCTGTTGCAGATAACATCCCTTTTTTCAGGTTACTAATCCCACTACTTATGGACAGTTACAATGTCCGTATAAAAGTTCATCCTTTGCCATCACACAGCAAAATACAAGAAACACCCCCCCCCCCCCCTTTCCTAATATGAGAAACCACAACCTCTATATTCTTTTGTTTGTAATAACACATAGAAACACTTAATAATCGGACATCAGAACTTAATACACTCAATAATGTCTACCAGGAAAACATATAAAGCTAGAAACATTTATGTCGAACACTATGCAATGCACAATGTCCAGAAGATGGACCATACATCGTTCTGCAGTGTCGTAAATCAATCTTCTATGAATGGGAAAGAGAAGGTAATGGAGACTTATCACTTATGAGAGGCACGATTTTCAGCCATATATTCTTCTGTTCTTTACATCACAAATCTATCTTTAAAATCAGTTACAAAAGCCATCTAAGAACTAAAAAGATTCTCCACGACAATGATATCCAGTCAAACATCTCAAAATGGAGCCACATATGTCCAGATAAGTTGCACGCTCATGACTGCATACAACACATACTGATGGAGTAGAAATCAAGATATTAAACATGGTCAAACCTCATCTGATGATTTGTCTGGGATGGCATTGTGTCCCTGATGCATTCCTCGGATATTCTTGATGGTTAGGGTCTTCATCCCTTGCTCTTTTGGCAGCCTTCAAAATTTTTGTTTGAAGAGTTCAAGTAACCATAGCCATATCTAAAGGAATCTCAAACAGTAACATACTAACATGAGCTAAAAAGCTTACCCTCATTTCATTCTCCCAGGGTATCTTCACGCGATCCAGATTATAGTTTTCATCAACTGGTGGTCTGTCCACATGGATGTAATCCTATATATCATTCTCAAGGAAAACTTATCAGGATATTGCTGGATAAAAAAGAAGCAACAAAAATAGTTTATACCTTTTCAACTTTACTGGAGAGCACTCTCACTGGACAATAACGATGCTTACTTCCCTTCAGGACAAAATTTGAAGGCTTGCGTTCAAGATCTTCCTCCTCCATAATCTTAAGGTTCATTTCATTGCAGCTAGTGAACCTAGGCTTCACCTGCTCTCCATTGACTTTTCCAGTGCGGGGACTTCGAAAACCACTGCTAGAGCTAGTACTAGTTCTAATTTCTGCACCATCATGTTTAGCCATATACTTATAGTTGCATCTGCCATCAACCGCCACTTCTCTTCTGGAACCTTTGTGCATGTCTATTGACGAGTCCCGCCCAAGATAGTAACAATCACCATCATGAATAGAGGAATTCTGACCAGGCTTTTCGTTGAAGTAATATTCGGGATGAGCAGACTTGAGTGATTTTTTGAAACTTGCACCTTCCAAATCAGGCACATGAGAGTTTGTCTTGGAAATGGATCCATGTCCCTATCGAAACCAATGCAAAAGCAAAGAAGGTATAATTCTACAGATTGACTTGAGTACTTCAGTTTTGATAGTAAGATCAAGATATGGTAGGAGAGAAGACACCAAATTAAGCACAATCATATATCAATCCATTTGCATTTGGGCCAGTAGAAAAATGAAAAATGTTTGATCCCCGAGAAATGTCAGGTCCAGCTAAAACAAGTCTCCCTCCATGGTCCATGATTTTTTTTTTTAAGGTTCTATCCATGGTCAAATGCAAAATATAGAAATGAAAAAGAAGTTGAAAAAGAATCACCCAACAGAAAAAAGGAAAATAGAGATCACTAATCCTCAAGAGACTAACTTTTTCAGGTAAATTAAGAAACCTTAGGTCAATACCAGATACCAAAGATACTCAAAATACACCAAATATGCAAGCCAGCAAAATAGACTGCAATTAATGAGTTAGCAAAGATAGTAAACAAAAGAAAAACATTTATGTCACCATATCAGTAATGGAATGCGCAGTCTAATCTATAAAGGTGCACCATCCAAGGTAACGAAATCACAAGCAAAATATGCTTACACTGCCGCTATCACACATTAGTTCAAAGTACATTAAGCACTCAAAGCATATGCTACTGCATTCTTTTGTATAGTGTTGCTATTCCACAGTTCTATATTTGGTAGTCCGTACTTCTTTGCCTCATTCATTTGAAAGATCAACTAAATGAAGTATATAGCATCTGTTGCCACGGAGTAAAAACTTATAAAATGCATAGTCTAAATTCAATTAGTTATCAACTTGACCCAAAAATTAAGCATTCCTATACACATGCAGTTAGTTCATGGCTGTGAATATAAGATCAAGGTTTACAAAATCACTAAGATTAATTTGCACAAGATCCACTTACTATGCATGAATTCGATTGCTTGTACACTTTAGAGAAATCTGGTGTAAGCGCTGGAACAGGTTCTCCAGCATATTCAGGTTCTGACAAACATTAATAGGAAAGTAAAAGTCAGCAACTCTTTGTACCAGACACAAAGTTATACTTTCCGAATCCACAATCAGATGCAAAAAAACAAGAAAGTGAATGCATACTCAAGCATATAAACTTGAACATGGAGTAAAATCCAGAGTAGAAGTGGTATTGAACATGGCAATAGGAACTTCACTCATTCAGCAATAAAGAGCCGTCAAACTCTTTTTTGCATCTAAACAAAAAATGATCTGAATACAAGAAGAGTATACACTACAGACATGCATATGGAAATTTCAAACATCACATAGTTATGATAATGGGCTCATACAGTATTCATAAGATTGTAATTTTATTCCTCTCGAAAGAAAGAAGATGAACCAAATTTCAGAGTTTACAAGGTTCCGAGTTTTGTTCTGCCAACTCAATTGTAAGTTCAAGAGCAAAGAAACTAGTAATTCTGGATAGAGAAGCATGTATAAATGCCCATTAAAAGGACTAGCACAAAAATAAAACCCTTAGTATCAAGAGAACATGAAAAAGGACTTCACAACTTGCAGATACCCTAATTCACTCTATTCGTAATTACAGCTCTGAATCAGCCTAGGTTTTAATGCAAATTTAATAATATTGTCATATATGAGCTGGTTTTGTTCGCAATTTGGATCATATTAGCTTTTCTAATAAAATAAACACAATATTGCCATAATTATTTTTTTACTTAAAAAAGATTATTATTCTAAATATAACAATATCTTGTTCTTTAAATTGCACAGAAATTTTCACAGCACAATTAGATGATAGAAGTTATTTTAGTTGTAGAGAAGCATAACAAAATCGAAAAATCAACAGCTAAACTAAATAGGAACAGAATTAGCATGCTTTAAGGAGAGAAAGGCATGTACACAATGAGTTGAATGGATGAAAATACTTGGATCAGAAAAAAAGTCAACTGTGAAAAAGACAAGAAGCAGCAATTTTTATCTCACCATCAACAAGATTTTGCACTGATGATTCAAAAGCACCAGGTGGAAGTGGATCAAATTCAACACCAAGTGGTGGACCATCCTGTCGGTAGAGACTTCCCAATTGCCTCTTTACAGCAGTAATTGCAGCATTTTCTACCTGGCCTTTCACTTTTAAGTACCCGGATGGGCCAGTTCTTGGTTTCACACTCTTAAGATCAGTAGGAACATTAGACGATAGGTATCTTGATGTTGCCATATCAAATGATTCCACATTTTGTGAAAAACATGCATCCCGTAAGGAAGAGCTACTTCCTGAAGGTGTATCCTCCATGAGATTAGACTCTGCTCTATACTGAGTAACAACTTCATATGTAACACCCGCAGCTGAGACTTCTGGGGCAGTTAATCTTCTACTCTCAACTTCCCGATGATCAAAATTTTTATCATCTCCTTGCTTAGTACTTCCACAAGAATCCTGCCTAAAACCGCTGCCACGGTCCTGAATGACACCACTTGAACGATCTTGTCTTCCATTTGCATATGTTTCCCGACTTAATAGCCTCTTGTCTTTCAACCGCCTATGACAAAACCACCCAGAAACCTGCTTTTCTGTTAATCCTAATGACCGTGCCAGTTCTGATTTCATTGATTCTGTAGGATATTTATGTTCTGAAATTTCGCAAGCTCTCTCATTGTTAAGTTTGAAATAACATATATGCTGTAGAAACTCATTGCAAAACACGAAAAACTAGTAAGATCTGTTACCCTTATAAAATTTCTCCAGGCCTTCAATCTGAGCACGTGTCTTGATGACCTTGATTCTTGTCTTGTTTTTTTCAGTATGACCTTTATCATCTTCAGAATGCATTACAACAGGATCTAAAGCATGGATAAGAAAAGGTTAATGAACCCAACAATTACCCAAGCTGTTCCAACAACAACAGGTCCTACTTCAAATTGAGAAAGTTTCATAAGCATTATTTGATATATCAAATATAACCAAAGGGAAAAAGCCTTTCCAAGATAGGCGAATACGGGATGCCATCGCACCATATACAAGTGGTGAAGGATTATTTTTCAGTTGCAGGCACAGGAATAATGGAAGGATACACCATATACCTCAGAACTCAGAAGAATACATAAAAGTGCTGCAGTAACCAAGGGTGTTATAAAGAGGAACCATGTAGAAGGCAGGAGAAGAGCTGATTACTTGCTCCTCCACGTCTCATCTCAAATCAACCTAGTCTACTGCTCTCTCTTTTTGTTATGCTTTTTCTTTCTTTTAGACAAGGGATTTCAATGACTAAATTCTAGTCACACTTGTTCTTCACAAGGGCAGATTAACATAGAGCTTACAGCATTTCCACAACGAGAAAGGAAATTATAATGTAACTGCTGAAACTCCCACCATGTTGTTTAAGACAGTTCACTACCTTCACTACAACAACAACAAAACGCATCTGCCCCAAACAAGTTTCAGTCTGCTATATGAATCATCACTTCTCCATTTAAGCTCAATCTCATGTCAGTATCATACCAAATAAAAATAAAAGCAAAAAAATAAGTTAGATATATATAAATAACAGTTCACGACATTGACTACGTCTACAACAACTACAACTACAACTCAGTCCCAAACAAGTTGCGGTTAGCTATGTGAATCCTCACTTCTCCATTTTAGCTCAATCTCATATCAGTACTATACCAAAGAAAAAGAAAAGTGAAAAAATAAGTTAAATATATATAAATAACAGTTCACTACATTGACTACTACAACTCTAACTACGCCTCAATCCCAAACAAGTTGGGTCGGCTATATGAATCCTCACTTCTCCATTTTAGCTCAATCTCATGTCAGTACTATACCAAATAAAAAGAACAGTGAAAAAATAAGTTAAATATATATAAATAACAGTTCACTACATTGACTACTAGAACTCTAACTACGCCTCAGTCCCAAACAAGTTGGGGTCTGCTATATGAATCCTCAATTCTCCATTTTAGCTCAATCTCATGTCAATATTCTACCAAATAAAAAGAGAAGTGAAAATTTAAGTTAAATATATATAAATAATAGTTCACTTCACCACATTGACTATACTGGGTAATACACCTATAAGGAAAAATGAAACAAAATTGAAATCAAGTCCGTCATATACAAAGGCACGGAAATCAAATTAAACACAATGAAATTGATTTTGATAAGTAATAAAAAGGAAAATTGGAAAAATTTCGATACCTTCCATGATCTCTGGCCAATTTCTCTGGGGGTTTTCCTGAAACCCCTTTTGTCAATTAACTCAAAATTCGAACCCCAATTGGCGGAGAATGCGAGATTAAAGTGTGCTTGTGTGCATCTGTACAGAGAACAAAAATTGCTACGTACATACACAAATGTACAGAGAGAAAATAAATTTTATATGTATAATTCTAATTTGACATATTAATACTTAACAAAGACATTTTCAGAAGTAAAAAAAAATGAAGAAAATAAGAATTGAAGAAATTTCCTAGTAGTCTTATTCAGGTCTTATAAAATGAAGACATATCAAAAAGTGAGATTAAGTAAAAAAAATTCCTATTCTATTTGTGTTTTAAATAACACAAGTGGCTCAAAATGTTAATTTGATTGTGTCATTAACTAAGTTCATTAATATAAAATTATTTCTCAATTCTATTTACCGACTGGAACCTTAGCCAATTGAGTAAAATAACTTTTTGTTTTGTTTCAAGACAAGTTGGTGAAAATGACCTATCAACCACTATAAAAATCTGTTGGCTTTTTGTAGTCTATTACAAATATTATTTTGAAATTTGGTTTATCTTTTCATTTTGTAGTCTGTTGCAACTATTATTTTAATTATGTGACCATTTTACTAGAGATTAATAAAAAATAATACATAAGAGGTCTAGAAATTTATTTTCTTTCTATTCAAATGGTAATTGGGTTGATCAGATAAATTTATGAGAAATTTTCACAAACCACTATAGTTTAGTGGTCATTAGCTAACTGTAGCTATCATTTACTATATTACTTCCTGTAGTTATGTTTTCAATTTTGCTAGAGTGTATTCGATGTATTTAAGCTATTGTATTCGTGAATACAGTAGCAAAACTCAGCGTGAAACAGGGGAGTACAGCTAGGCAATTATTGTATTCGACTGTATTCACAATAAATGTATTTCCTAAATGAGAAATTTTCACAAACCACTATTGTTTAGTGGTCATTAGCTAGTTGTACCTATCATTTACTATATTACTTCCTATAACTATGTTTTCAGTTTTGCTAGAGTGTATTCGATGTATTTAAGCTACTGTTTTCATGAATACAGTAGCAAAACTCGGCGTGAGACAGGGGAATACAACTAGGCAGTTATTGTATTCGACTGTATTCACAATAAATGTATTTGTGAATACAATAACGTAAATAGCGTAAATCGTGGTCTATTGAACTGTTTTTAAACGAAAAGTGAATCAATTAATACAAATAGACTCCTAATATAACTAAACAATCTCAATTATAAATCTGAATACATAAATACATCTGAATACATAAATTATATAAATTAAAAGAAACATATGAATACATTCATGGAATATAGCGAGACAATGAACACAATGAAATACATGGAATACAACGATATACATTGAAATACAATGAAAACAAGATAATGAATACAATGAAATACATAGAATACAACGAGATACATTGAAATACAATGAAAAAAAAAAGGTAATAGACTATTCAAGTTGCTCAGCCCCAAACTCCGTCGTCTTTGTTCAAGAATAACCCTAATGTCGTCTCGTCGATAGCAGATTTCAAATCTCTAGAATAAAAGAAGATTTTTCAGCAATTTCCCAAAATTTCTCCCACCACGTCCACGCCGTCGCTTCTTTTCTCGCTCCGCCATTTCCAACTCAGTCGTCGGAGCAAGTTCCGTCTTCTGAAAAATTGAGCGAAATTAAAAACGACTTAGTTGAAATTGGAGATAGCTTTAAATCAGGACTCTCTTTGTTCTCTTCGAACAAAGCTGTTTCAGAGATTTCAAAGTTAGCTTCAAATTTTTACAGTTTAGTGATGAGTCGCCGAATGATCGTGAAACTGACGATGATGACGATGATGATAACGAAGAGGAAATTGAGGTTGTATTCACGGAGAAAGACTGGCGTTGAGAGAGAGAGGGGTGGAGAAAAATCTGAAAGAATGAGAGAGAAAAATAATACAAAGCGTATTTTATGGCTTAAGGGTAGGAGACCACCATAAATAGATATTTGACTATAAAAATCAAAAGGTAGCTATGGAATATAATTTTTTAAAAGAATATTTATTTAAAATAAATAAGATATCAGCCTTTGCTACAGGAGGTAAAAATTCATAAATTTATCCACATGAAATATGCATACAAACTGACCCCAACTTCTTCTAGAGTAGCTCTTGTACAAAATGCAATTCAAAGAATATGCATAATAAATTCAATTAATAAATTCAAGTTCTATAGGAAACAGCCATTCTGCCTTTATAAAATAGGAGTAAAGTCCACATATACAATACCTTCCTCAAATCTCACTTATGAACATTGAGTATGTTATTGTAATTTCTTTTACGAGATTTGTACGTTTCCCCCTTCTTATATAGTAATCGTATCGGTTATTTATTATGATATACTTCTATTCAATCAATTAAAAAATAATATTTTTTTGTTTAAAAGTAAGCATATTATAAACTTCTTACTTTATCCTTAAAAAATAATTTATATCCAAAATAAAATTTATGACATCTTTTAATTTACATATTTCAAAAGTCTTACTCCCTCCATCTCAATTTATCTGACAATTTAAGACAGAAAAAAAAATTCTTTAAACTTGTAATGTAAAATAAATCTTAGCTAATTATGTTTTTTTTTGCTAATACAGTTTTTTATGTGACTACAAAATGGAAAATACTACACATCAATTTTCTAAAAATATCATCATCAAACAATAGAAAGGAAAATTCACATACGTTTTCCTCTCTCTTACTAGTTTGCAAGCAAAGAAACTTAACGAGGAAGCTGCATTTCTGGTCACTGAAACTTCCATATTTAGCTAACGTCCCCCTCACCTTTCGTACAAAATCAATAGCACGACGTACAACTAGACAGAAAAATGGATGCAAAGATCGGAAAATTCTTCGAATCGATCGGCGATTTCTTTACCGGCGGAGATCAAATTCCGTGGTGCGATTCTGATATAGTCGCTGTAAGTCTCATGTCGATTTTCTTATTTTCAAATTTATTTGATTTTATTGACAGATTTGACCGCTTTTCTGTGGTGGATTATTGATTATTTGTGCATTTGATCCTTCCTTAAGCTGAAATTGAGCTTACCTTACGCTTTGAAGTACTTTATATGATTTAGGAACTCGTGGAGTGTAATTGAGTTTAAAATCTACTGGTCGTTGTTACCTGGTATTGTTTTCCGTATAGACAAGCTTAGCCAATGCCAAGTGTCGAGCTTAGGGATGAAAATCGGATGAAACGTACTTATTAAATAAGGATTAAATGGTGAAATTTGTTTTTTTTCTTAATCTGATAGTTGTATGATGTGAAATAATACATTTGAAATACTTTTGTTTGTTCTTGTGTAAAAACGTCTGAATAGAGAGAATTTATACGGACAAATCCAGAGGCGGATTCAGATTTTATGGGTTCAACCTCTAAATTTTTTAGTATTGAACCAATTATATTGTTAAAGTTATGGGTCCATATCTACTATTTATTTCTATTTTAGATAATTCTTACTTATAAATTTATGATCTACGTCAAAAGTATTGGGTTCAATGGAACCGGCACCGCTACGCTGGATCCTCCCCTGGAGAAATCATAGAGTTGACTCTAACTAGTTTGGATTAAAGTGCAGTTTTTCTGGTTATTGCTCTTATCTAGAAATGAAATTATGTGGTATGTTGTTATATGCTGGTTTTTGAGTACTTGTTCTTATTAGAGATGACTGAATAGAGCAGCATTGATATGGGGTATTTATATAGTGTATACCAATTAGTTTGGCAGCGTAATTAATTGATTGATTGTTCTTATTTAGAAGTGAAGTTTATGAGTCACGTTGTTCAATGCTTGATGTGTTTTCTATTTATGGTAGGAAACAAAGAATTTTCTTTATGAAAGATCCCAAGACCAAGAGTTAAAACATGTAGAACAGTTTGAAGATCCTAATTCAGTTTTCTAATTTCCAGAGTGGTAACTTTGAAACTAAAATTTAAGTGGCGAAAGGATATCAACCCTCATTGCCACCTCAATCAATCAACCATGTCTCAACCCTAACCTAGTTGGGGTCGGATATATCAATCATCTATATTCAGTTCTACTTTTAATTTATAATCTTTTAGTCCACTTCATTCCAATAACAGTAAGTAATTTCTCATGTATTTTATTTTATTTGGAGAAGGAGAGCATGCAGTTTATTTAGATACTTTTTCATTGGGTATCTTTGAAGTCAACATTAACTTAGGTGATTTGGTTATTTTTTGCTAAATAGAGACGTGAGCAAAAGTGTTTCACATAGGACTCACTTCATTTTATCGCAGTTCTAGTTATATCTTAGAAACTTTGATGCTAAAATTGATTGGAAACATATACTGATTGAGATCCCCAATTGAAGTTCGGTTGTTGGATAGAAGTAGTACTACTTATAAATGGCATTTAAAGGTCGAATACTTATTAATGGTCTTTTAACACTGATATAGTCAATTAAAGTTGAGGTTTAACAAAATATTCAGCCAATTATCTTGGCTCCGTTATATAGAAAGCACATTATGGTACATGACTTTAATGGTTTTATTATGATAGTTATTTTTTATTTCAGTTCCTTTTTATGCACGTTTGAAACCCAACCATATTAGTAAACGGTCTGGTTTAACTGGCAGTTCCTTTGATATACAGGGTTGTGAACGCGAAGTGGCAGAGGCAGAAAAAGGTTCATCTGATGAGCTTAAAAGTGAATGCATTATGCGTTTGTCTTGGGCTCTTGTTCACTCAAAAAGGCCTGAAGATGTACAGCGTGGTATAGCAATGCTTGAAGGTCAGTATAGTAGAGCTATTCATTTCGTTCTTCCTTCCTTTTCTTTTAGCTGGACTTTTGACGCAGCTATTCATGCTGCATCATTCATTCCCTCACCCCGACATTTCCTTGCACTGGACTTTGAGCTTCTCCATTTCCCTAGTTCATATTTCTTTTTTCCGTTTACTCCCTTTTACCTTCTCCTTTTGCTTTTGCATTAGGCGAGGGAGAGAACCATATTCTCTGACTTATATATTATCATTTGCAGCTTCTTTGGGTGGCAGTAGCAGTCCCCTGCAAATGAGAGAAAAGCTTTATCTTCTGGCTGTTGGGTACTATAGAAGCGGGGACTATCCGAGGAGCAGGCAGCTTGTTGATCGTTCTTTGGAGGTTTGATCTTTGTTCTTACCTTTACTTCACCCTTAACATTAATGCTGAGGTCTTTATCTCCGGGCTGTGAAGTTTGCATTATTTCTGAAAATTAAAGT